TGCTCCGAAACGTGTCAGAACATCTCGGAAAGCTGCTGCGACGTGCTTGGCCTCCTTGGCCGGAATAGCACGGAGCTCAATCCATTTGGTGAAGTGCTCGACCATGACGACGACGTAGCGGTTGCCGTCATCAGATATCTGTGGCATCTTGCAAAGATCCACGCCCCATCTGTAGAACATGCCCATGATAGGCAGGGGCTTCAGCTCAGGGTCCTTGACGTCGAACGTCGCCTTGACCCGATCGCACACGGTGCAGGCCGCGACCTCGCGCTGGACCTGACCATACATCCCAACCCACCAGTATGTGGGGCTCAGTAGCGAATACGTCTTCAGGACGCCGTAGTGGCCGACATCCTGGTGCACACGGCGAATCAGGTTCGCGCGCAGTTCTGGACGGGGGACAATCTTTGTCGTGCCGTCTGCGAAGCGTTTTCTGAGGACGCCATCCTTCAGCTGATAGCTCCGGGCTCGGTGCCAGATGCGATCCTTCTGCTTCGGTGTCACGCTGTTTGCGTACACGCCAGCCTCGAGGTACGCCATCACGGGGGCGTCCTCCCAAATCTCGCGGTCGAACCTGACCGGCAAGTCCACATCATCGTCGGCGGCCTCACGCAGGGGCGCCACGATCGCAAGTGCCTGCGACTCTGCAGGGCTTCGTGCCTGTGTCTGTACAGGGCTTTCTTCTGGCGTGTCGGCCAGGCTTCCTCCGGGTGCCGGCATGTCGGCCGCACCGTAAATCAGCTCCGTCAGGGCTGGATCCTCTGGCTCGTTCAAGGTGCCGGCCAAGATGGCAAGGCAAGCCGAGACGGCCGACGGCAGCTCAGAACTCACGTGGTCCATCCTCGCGTCCGTCCAATCATCGGTTTCGGGGAGCGGGTTCCGCGAGAGACCGTCCGCATCCAAGTTCTTCACTCCACTGCGGTGCACGATTTTGACATCGTACTCCTGCAGGATGTTCGCCCAACGGGCGTGCATGCCCGTGAGCCTCGTGTTCGTCATCAGCCACTGCAACGGCTCGTGGTCTGTGATCAGTGTGAACGGCCTCCCGTAGAGGTACACGCGGAAGTAGCACACACCCCAGACGGCAGCTAAGCACTCTCCGTGGTAGCTGGAGTAGTTTCGCTCCGTGCGGTTGTTGCTCCGTGACGCGTATGCGATCACGTATTCCTTCATCTCATCGTCACGCTGTGCGAGAACAGCGCCGAGCCCAGTAGCGCTCCAGTCGGTGTGCAGCTCAAAGGGTCGGGTAAAGTCAGGCCGCCTCAAGATGGGCGCCTCAGTCAGCTTGAGCTTCAGTTGCTCGAGAGCCTCCTGTTCCTCAGTGTTCCACTGCCAGGCAACGCCGTTCTGAAGCAGTCGGTTCAGGGAAAAGGCGATGCGGGCGTAGTTCTGGACGTATCTCCGGTAGTAATTCGTCGTGCCTAGAAAGGCGCGCAACTCCGAGGTGTCCCTCGGCGGAATCATCCGCACGATGGCCTCTACCTTCACGTCCTGCGGGGCGGTTCCGCCAGGCACGATGTAGTGGCCCAGGTAAGACACGGTGCGAACGGCCAACCTCATCTTCTTCGGGTGGCACTTGATCCGCTTCGCGCGCAGCCGCTCGAACACGGCGCGCAGATGTGTCAGGTGCTCCTCGAACGACTTGCTGTGAATGATCACGTCGTCGATGTAACAGCGGCAGAACGCGCGCTGCGCACTCAGTGTGGTGTCCATCAGCCTCTGAAAGAAGGCAGGGGCGTTTTTCAGCCCAAACGGCATGACAACCCACTCGTACAGGCCGTCGTGGCCCCAGAACGCCGTCTTGCAGACGTCCTCTTCTGCGATGGCCACCTGGTGGTAGCCCCAACGCAGGTCAAGCGTGGTAAACCAGGTCGAGGTCTCCAGCTCATCAAAGATTTCCTCAGGGGTCGGCAGCTGGTAGTGATCAGGGGTGCTGACCTTGTTCAGCGCGCGATAGTCCCCGCATGGTCGCTTCAACGTCCAATTGCCGTGCTCGTCTTTCTTCGGCGGCATGGTTGTAGGCGAGGCCCATGGAGACGTGGAGCGTCGGATAAAGCCGCACTTCAGGCGCTCTTCGACCTGCTCCTTCAAAGTATCTACCTCGGCGTAGGCTAGCCGGTACTGCCGTTTGAAGATCGGCGTATCATCCGTCACGGGAATTGTGAACTTCTCCCCAATGACCGTGGACATCTCGGACATGTCAAATGCTTGCACGTCACGAAACTCGTCCAGCAAGTCCTCCAGAGCCTGTTTTTGCTCAGGCGTAAGATCATCTCGCCCCCCCAAGCCCCAATCTGTCTTCTCATCATCCTCATCGTCCGCGGACATCAAGTCCGGGAGATCGGGCGGGTCCGGTTCTGGTTCCTTCTCTGGTGTGCCAACCTGGCCTCTCCCCCCCCCAGCCGCGGCCGGCGGTCGTCCCGACGCTGTGCCAGGCGGCTGTGTCTGAGGCAGGGGTCCAACTCTCCGAAATTTGCGCTGCTGGAGTAAACCAGCTCGCACGAATGCTGCCGCGTGATGCGGCGCCACCAAAGTGGGCTCACCCGATGCATCGGAGGCCATCAGGCCCGACCACCCGCTGGTGGTAGGCCGCATGAATTGTCAATCCGAGAAGAACGCGAACTGGAAGCACTTAATGCTGCTGACCAGGAAGGTCAAGGCATGCATGTCCATCGTGCTACCCAGCAAGCGCCGGCGGTCCGCCTCTGAGACGGCGGGACCAACCTGTGTGCTGTTCTCCAGAAAACCCATAGCGCGCTCGCGCTCTAGGGCCGTCGGTTCCTCCTGGGCGCCGTTGGCGGCCCAGATCATGCTGTGCTCACCGACGCGGTACGCGTGGGAGCCTCTCATCGTAACGAAAGTGGACAAAGCCCGGAGCGGCTGTCCTGTCTGGTTCACGCGGTGACGGCCCGGCGCACCAGAGTGGCGGGCGGCCTGTGCGGTCCGGCCAGGCTCAAGAATGTCCTGGACGCGGCGGAAGTCGGGGCGCTGCTTGAAGCGCTTTTCGACCATCTCTAACATCAGTGGGCTGGGGATCATGTTGGTCCACCAGCGCCGGTTGCGGTGGGCGAGAGAGCCCGCGGCAACTGCGTCGAACGCGAATCCTGGGCCTAGAATGCCCTTGACGACGTCGTTGAACTCGTCGCGCACGTCCGCCTGCGGATGATCGCTGGCGTCGACGTTCTCGAACAGGTAGGCGCACGGTCCGTGGACACTGGTCACAGTGTGCACGACGCGGATGGCCTCCGTAAATAGCTTCGTGCGCGGGTCGCGCAAACCCTTGGGGTTGCTGCCCGCCTTCGAGAAACCCTGGCATGGGAATCCCGCCACGATCAAGTCGGGTCTCTCTAGATGCTCGATATGGGCGCGCGTCACATCCTGAATGTTATCAGGCAGGGCGCCGTGGACGTTCAAAAACGCCTCTGTGCTCAGCAGCTCGGGGAACATCTCGTGAAGTTTCCCGAGGCGAAATTCGGCCACCTTCTGTGCCGATTTATCTAGCTCGCAAGCGTAGACCTTCCGAACCTTCAGGCCACTGCGCACTAGCGCCTCTGTGGTGGCCATCAGGCCGCTGAATAGCTCAATAACTACCAGGCCCGGCCCAGAAACGTCCAAGACGGCCCGTCGGTCGATCAGACTCTGGTCCAGGGGTCGCAGGCACTGGAACGCGGGGTTCCTGATAGGCCGCGGCGGAGCAGCCGGCATCGCAAGCGCGCGCACGCTGCGGTCGAAGATATCTGTCGTGGCTGTCATTAGCTCAGTATTGTACTGATCCAGCCGGCGTCGAGCGGTCTGCGCTTCCAGATGCGAGATAGGTGTCTTGATGTGCAACGGCATAACTGCTGCAACGTATCCGCGGATTCCTGCCGCGTAGGCATGCAGCGGCGAGCGACCGTACTCAATCGGGAATGTACACCGAAGGTACGCACTCCGCTCACTGGCTGTATCCGGGTTCACATAGTACTTCACCCGCTGCTTGCGGGGGTTCGGAATGATGCTAGCCGGCCCCATGACGCTCATCCCGATCAGGGTGTCAGGTAGCTCGTGGGTGGCAATCACAACGTGCGCCATCACGGTGACGGCGTCTGGTGTCCCCGGGTTCAGCTCGAAGCTGACCGGCTCAGATGTACGGTCGAGACGGTCGGACAGCTGTCCCGTCGCGCCGCGGATCACCACCGCTCTGCGGCGAATCATGTCAGGGGTAATCCCCATTGCCTTGGCACCGGAGGGGCCAGTGATGACGGCCTCCGCACCAGAATCCAGAATCATGTTTGACACCGTGCGCCCATTCACCAGAAGGGCCGGCTGCGGTCCAGAGTTGTCAATCCGCGGGGAACGGTGGAACCCGGCGGTCGGATCACTGTGGTACGCCCCTGGGAGCTTCCCTAGGAGCGCGCCGATACGGGGGTTATCCGCATCATAGATGTCGTCTGCAGCCGGCTCGTTGGGCGGATCCAAGGCGGCAGGCGCCTGGTCGGCCTCGGTCAGAGCGGGCGCAGTGTCCACTGGGGCAGTCGGCCCGTAAATGACTCCCTGCCGGCGTGGATCGTCCGGCGGAAGTTCCTCAAAGCCCTGGGGCAGAAGCCGAGTCCTGGCTGTCCCCGTGGCTGCGCTCTTAGCAACATCTCCTGTAATCTCCTTCTCCTTTCCCTTAGCCTGCGCGGTTTCCTCCGGCGCGGCTGTCTGTAAGAGATCCGGCCCAGCGCTCTGCTCAACCTCGGATGGCTCGGCAGGCTCGGGCATAGGCGGACTAGATGTCCTGATGAAGTCCTTGGGCAAAAAGCCCAGCGGCATGTCGGCAAGGCGACCACGAAGCCGTTCGTTCTTAGGGGCCTGTCGTGTAAGGCCCGTGTGCACCTTGGGGGCCGCCTCGCGTGGGGCGGCAACCCGGCTACTGCTAATCTGCTGGTTAGTGGTTCGCGTGGCGGCATGCGCGGACACTATGCACGCGCCGTATCCGGCGACGCGTCCATAGTGGGCGTCCCAAAGCTCCTGAAGCTCTTCCATGGTTGGTGCGCCAGGGTCCCGCGGCTCGGTCTTCGGAGCGGCCGGGGCCTGCGCAGCGCGCGCGTTCGTTACGGGCGGCGCTGATGGCGCTGATGACGCCCCATTCTGTAGGGCCTTGCACTCGGCCGTGTCATGTG